CATGGTGGATAAAAGATAGGTATGCAATTTCCGATTTATATATATCAAATAAATTTTGCAATTTGGTTAGAAGAAAAGTCAATGGAGTCTCCGAGAGAAACGAGAGTTTACTGGTTTTAGAAGAGGAGACAGTAGTAAATGTGAGACTTATTTAATTTGGGATCTACTACAAAAGAAATGCTCTTAAATTGTTTCTCCATTTATACGAAGAAGATGTTTCTTTCAAGCAAAGCTTTTCCTTTTAATGCTCTTCTCCGTATCGGTCCATTGAATATAATAAGTTAAATAATACTGCTGATTTTCTTCTTATCATTATTCATTCATTTATTAGGGTTTGAGTTGTTAAATTTAAAAATTGGAAGATTTTTAATTCGCTTTCCATCAACATCACATCAACTTCAGGGCAGAAGCTAGCCAGACTATTGCCTGCCTTATAGCAACTAGTTTTCATTAATATCTTTTTTATTTAACTTAATATAGTTAATTAAATAGAGAAATATACATTGAGATTTTAAGAAAATAATCATCGAGAAAGAACAGCTTAGCCGGACAAATGTTTGAGATACTATAATCTATGTCTACTCCTTTCTGGCGTACTTTTCTATTGTTTGGAATACTCATGTTTGTTACATATCTTCATTGTTGTACCAAGTAATACCTAATTGTACCATTTACTTATAGTTGTACCAAGTAATACCATGGTACAACTAGGTATTACTTGGTACAACTATAAGTAAATGGTACAATTAGGTATTACTTGTTACAACAATGAAGATATAGTACAACTAGTTTTTTGGTACAACTAAGATAAAATTTGTACATGATACAACTAGAGTTTCCCAAACATTGACTTAGTCAACATGAGCTTATAGGACATTCATTCAGCTTAGGCTTCGCCTGACCCTCAAAAACCTTAATGGCTTTTGAGAAAGAGATTCTCCCAAATAAAAACCCTAAGCACCATCAACATAATCTCTTCGACTAACCCTCTCCGGTGGCCAGTTTTGTCAGTAGAGTCGGGGAGGGTCCTCTCCTCCTTTTTTTTTTCATTTTCTCCTTTTATCTCCCAGATCTACTCTTCATGGATGCTCTTGAATTTTTCCGGCGATTTGGGTTCTTCCTCGGGTTCGTGGTGGTGCTTGGCCTGGCTTAGATGGTCTCTTTGGGGCTCTTCGTCTCTTGTTTCATATAGTCATGCTGGTTCCGGATTTGTGACAGCAAGCCGGCGTGGAGTCTAGCTTTTTCGGTGGGTTCGCCGTCGTCTTCTGCAAATACAATGGCGGTTAAATCCAAAGGCAAATTTAGGGTGCCTCCGGCCTAATAGTGGTTGAGGTCTTAGTGGTTGTTTAGATTGGTCTGAAGTTTGGTTGTTTCCTTTGTCTTTTGATTCTAGTCCTTTGTTGTTTTGGGATAGCTTCAAGCTAGAGTTTTGAGCATGTGTAGTTTTCTTCTCCTGGTTTCGTCGTCGCCTTTAAGCTTTGTTCACTGGTTTGGTCGGTTCGTCTCGGTCTCGTTCCGTTGTCTCAGGTGGTTGTTTGCTGTTCTTCCTTATGTCATGGTAGTTCTGGTTCTATTGATCTTATTTGTGTTCTGCCTTGGTTCGTGGGTGGTATCTCCTTGTGGTTTGTTCATAGTATTAGAAGTGTGGAGGTATTGGCTCTGTTCTGGTGGTATTTGCTTCTTCTTGGATATGCCGTTTTGTCTCCATGATATTGCTGGATTTAGGTTCGAGTTCTACTTTATGGGACTATGTAGCTTTATGAAGGTAGTGATGTGTTTCGCAAAAGATGATTGGTTTCTTGGAGTCATTATATTGGTAATTGAGGTTTGGTCGCTGCTGCCTTTTTGACCTTGGGTATATTCTTTGTGCTTGTCGAACCTTGTTGATGTCGTCCTCGCATTCATCCTGGAGCTCTATTTATTAGTGTCGCTCTCTCTTTTGTTCCTTTGGTGATGTTGTGTTGAAGTGTCTATTGGTGGATTGTTATTGATAGAATAAATTGATTTTGAGACTTATTTCCCTCGTCCAACAGTTTGGTGTGCCTTTTCTTTCTTTTTTTTCCAGAATAATCTTCAATCGGTGATGTACATCAATTTCTTGACTCCTTTAACTAGTGAGCATATGGTTGAATATCATTTAGAGTCTTCTCAGTAGGTTGGTTTGCTTTTCTTGTTGGTGATCGCTTGCTTTGTGCTTCTCATTGTCTTCTTCTTATGTGAGCTTGCCTTTATCCTCATTCGTTGTAGGTGGTGATGGCAGTGTTTTTTCATATCATGCGTCATTGCTTTGTGGTTCGTGTTCGGTTGGTTGTATGGTTTAAATACCTCCAGATTTCGGCTTTGAGTTGTACTTTTCGATTTTGGTTCCCTTGGTTTGATATTCGTTTAAAACGGTTGTCCTCTTTTGGGCTTTTAATCTGAACAGATTCGTTTCCATATCGCCATGACTACGTAGTGGTTTATATCCTACCAACTTTATTTTTTTTTTTTGTAATATCCTACTTTTGTGTAATATCCCACCTGTAACTTGTTTTAATATAATCCTTTTAAATGACAAAAATAAAAACAGCTTAGGCTAGATTTAGCTATAGGTTAATTTAACCTCTTTTGACATTTTGCAGGAGAGAGAAAAACGCATCGTTTCAACGATACATCATGATTCATGATTAGATTTATCAAAACCAACTATATCTTCTAAACTCCTGCATTGATTACAACTTTATTTTAATCAGATCGATTAGCATTATTATTTATTTAATTAATTAGATAAAACAAAATAAGATTTTGAATTTTTAGTGTTTTGTGCATGGAAAAAAAAAAACTCAGAGTGCAGTGTTTGAGAGGCCATTTTCAACTTTGGCAGACAGTAACAAGATGGAAATGACGCTCTGTATCTGAAAATATCCAGGCTCTGCATTGC